GTTATTAATTCTCCAGTTTTATATTGTTAAAACACATTACAGAATTTTATTTTTTATATTTTAACTCTTCCCTATTATCTTAAAAATGAAACTCCTATCAGATTAATAGTTCCCACTCTGCAGATTTATTAGAATCTGTCCTTAAATTACAGCCAAACTCATTTACACAGTAACAGATAAAAACCTTTAGATAAACCAAACATTACTGCCACATATCTGACTCAATAACAACTAGTAACAAGTAACATTTCCTCTCATCACGGAGCAAATCCCGATAATGAGACATTTGTTCTTTCAATCAAAATCCCCCAACCCATCCGCCCCACTCCAAGGTGTCCTGGTTTTCCCAAATGAAAATATGTTCACCCTAGTGTAGGTGGCCTGTTCTCTCATGTTCTTATTATATCCAAACTGTGGTGGTGTTTACTTTTTTCGGAAGCCATGTTTCTATGTTGGGCTGCTCAGTGGCGCAGTGGGTAGCACTGCATGGAGTTTGCATGTTCTCCCTGAGCATGCATGGGTTCTTTCCAGGTACTCTGGCTTCCTCCCACAGTCCAAAAACATGACTGTTTGGTTAATTGGCTTCTCTAAACTCTCCTTAGGTGTGTGTGTGAATGGTTGTTTGTCCTGTTTGTCTGTGTGTTGCCCTGCGATGGACTGGCAACCTGTCCAGGGTGGACCCCGTCTCTTGCCCATTGACGGCTGGAGATAGGCACCAGCACCCCTCGCCACCCCAATTGGGACATGTGTCAGATAATGGATGGATGTTTCTATGCTGACTTGTATGATTTTCCAGGAGCTTTTCGGAATAGTGGGAAACAGAACAAGACAAGACATCCAGTTAATCACAATTTCAGGTATTTCATTCCTAGGAATGTGATGCTGAAAATCAGTCCACTGTGAAGCTATGCAAATGGCTATTTTGATGCACGGACCTCGCAGACACATCAAGCCCAAATCAAGCTTGATAGCTTGATCGTAGGGGACAAACATGGTTTGCTGGAGTTATCTCCTTATTTTTTGTTTTTAAAACCCACATTTTTTCACTATTTGGAATAATTATGTTAATATATTTTAACATCTTTATACTGAAAGGATGTAAGGTAGCTGTAGTAGTTTTTCTTTTTGCTAGGACAGGTTCGGGGAAGAGCCACTGCTCCTCCACATCTCGTCCACGTCCAAGATGCCTCCTAGGAGGTGCTCTAAAAGGAGGCCCAGAGGAAGAGCCAGGAGGGACACCATGGAGGGGCTATGTCACTCTGCTGGCCTGAGAGTGCCTCATGCTTCCCCCACCTGAGCCGCAGCAGGCGTCTGGATGAAAGGAAATCTGAGGGGCTCTGCTGACGCTGGATGGAGGCGTAGACAAGAAATACAAGATGTTTTCATCTCTCAACGATGTGAAATCTTGACTTTTCCATAAAATAATACACTCACCGGCCACTTTATTAGGTACCCCATGCTAGTAACGGGTTGGACCCCCTTTTGCCTTCAGAACTGCCTCAATTCTTGGTGGC